GAGAGAGAGAGAGAGAGAGAGAGAGAGAGGGAGATTTGTTTTAAGGAACTGATTGGCTCACATGAGTGGAGGCCACCAATCCCAAGTTTGTAGGGCAGTGTGGTGGCTGAGAGACCTAGACAGAATTGACCTTTGTGTCCATAGTCTGGAGCCGTCTGCTGGCCCTAGCAGAACTTCCTTGGGCCTCCCTCTTCCTTGGGGGAGGCCCCTCTTTTTCTGTTAAGGCCTTCAGTGGGTTGGGTCCACATTATGGACAGTCATCTGCTTTTTTCGTAGTCTGTTGCCTTAAATGTTAACATCGTCTGAAAAATGCCTTCATAGAAATGTCTAGAATGTTTGTTCAAATATCTGCTTAACACAGAAAAACAATAATCACAAGCTATATTAACATACTATAGCCCCGGACCACATCCCCTGAGGCAAAGCCTCAGACCCATAGGCAGTGATGGTGGCCTCTGGGGGAGGGGACAGCCCTTTGCCTTCATCAGACAGGTCCTTGATAGCATCAAGTGTTGCTCTCTTTGATGAGACCATTAGAGATAAGAAAGCAATAAAGAGTAAATTAGGTTTAATAGACACTGGAAGAGAGGATGTAGGATCTTTTGTATCCTTCACATGACTAAGACAAAAGGCTTCTAGAAGGTGCTATTTTCCTGGGAAATGGCCTCATGACATCCCTGTTTGAACAGCAGCATAGTGGGGACCTCACTCTGGGAGGTTAAGTCTCTGGAGCACAGAGCCACCGTGTACCTTAAAGTCACTCTGCTGTCACTCTCTGTGATGTCCACTGATTGTCAGCCAAGCCCCATTCATTGTGTCCAGAGTGACACAAACCTTTAGTTGATTAGGACAACTTAGTTATACCTATGACTGACTTTTAGGGGAAACATAATTATATGAAATAAAAGATTTGTTCAGGCTAGGGGTAGTAGTGCACACCTGTAATCTCAGTACTTGGGAGGCTGAGGCAGGAGGATTGTCACAAGTTCAAGGCCAGCCTGGGCTAAATAGTGAGACCCTGCCTCAAAAAAACCAAACCAACCCCCCAAAAAAATAAATAAATGAAAGAAAACTCCACAAAGACTTGCTCAAACCACAAACTGGGAAAAACCTTGCCTCCTCTAATACCTGTGCTACTCTCTTCCCACAAACAGACTCCCCCATCTCTGCCCAGGACCTCTTGTCCCGGATTAAGCAGGAGGAGCCGCAGTGTGTGTGGGACCAGCAGGATTTGGCAGAGAGAGATATTCCCACCGACCCCAACTCAGGTGAGAAATATTGAACACTAAGGTTAAAAGAATCACCCCGCTGATCCTTTCTTGTGTCAGTGGAACTGACCCTATAATTACCTTAGCATTGATTTTTACCCAGTCAGAACAACCAAAAAGCTTCAGGAAAGCTGTGTATATTTCTTTTTCAAAGAAGAAGTCATTTATATATATATATATATTTTGGAAGTCACTTATATTTTCTGGGTCTGGAATTTCTTTTGGGTGAGTACTGTTAGATGCCTCAAACGAAATTTCTGGGTAAGCTAGGTGTGGTGGCACACGCCCATGATCCTGGCACTCAGGAGGGTGAGGCAGGAGGACTGCCTGAGTTCGAGGCCAGTCTGTGAGATCCTGTCTGCCACCCCAGTGCCCAAGCTGCCACCTGCCTGTGGACTGGGCCCTGTGTGTGGCGATCTCAGTCTGGCTGGGCCTGCTGGTGAAAGTGAGTGAAGTCTAAGCCCGTCCTTTCTGCCAACAGAGTCTCTTATCTCAGCACACGACATTTTGTCCTGGATCAAGCAGGAGGAGCAGCCGTACCCATGGGGCCCTCGAGACTCAATGGAAGGAGAGCTTGGGCTGGACTCTGGCCCCAGTGAGTAACACACCCTCCAAGACCCCTGGGCATTTGGTCCACAGCCGAACAGCAGGGGCCTGGACGAGGGTGGTTTGCCTCAGTCTACCTGCTAGGGTGATGGAGGAACCACTTGGGGATGGGACAGTCCCTCTGCAACTGGCATCTGGTGATTCCTCTTGTCCCCTGTTGGTATGTGGGATGAGGGGGAGAGCCGGGAGACTGACCGTGGGCACTGGAGGGAACGGCAGCAGCCCCCAGCACAGCCCATGGCCATTGCTAGCTCTGGCCTCAGAGGCACAGGAAGCAGCCTCTCAGGCATTAACAGCAACCCCGCCCAGCCCTACCCTCAGTGCCACCTTCCTGTTCTTCCAAGTCAGCTAGCAGTTCGTGAGCCTGGAGGGTCCCTTCCCTGGGACCCTGCATGTGGGGACAGATCTAGGATGGCCTCACGAGAACCTGCCAGGCTTGCAAAGGGAATTTTATCCAGACCACTGTCCTCCTTCCGTCTGGATATGAAACCTATAGGATAGTTTGCCTCTTGCTGTTTTATCTCAGAGAGGTCTTCGAGCCCAGAACCGGGGATACAGAAGCAGCTGAAAAGTTTCTCCCCTATAGTCACCATCTGAGTCTTCTCTTCCCCGAAAGGGAGCTTGCCTCCTGTTGATAATGTTGAGGTTTTCTTTGAGCTTTAAAAACTAGCATCTTGGGGATTTAGCTCAGTAGTTCTGGCGCCTGCCACACAAGCGCAAGGACCTGAATTCAATCCCCAGTATCAAAAAAAAAAAAAAAAAAAAAAAAATTCAGTAAAAGCTAGCATCTCATCTGTGGTTTCTTTGAGGTTTAAAAGCAACCTAGTGCAGTGGTCATCAGGGACAGCCAAATAGATGCACCTCGATGAGATGTGGAATTGCATGGAGGAGTCTTCAAGAAGGGGGCCAGAAAGGGAGAGGGTGGGTGGGGAGAGGAGGGAATGCAGAGGCATGTGGCAGCTGGCCCTGCCAGGCCCACCCTAGCCCTGGGTCATGCAAGAGAGAAGGAACTGAGGTCCTGTTCGACTCAAAGTCACACTTCAGCCTAAGTGGATGTTGCATGGTAGTAAAAGAGGTCTCTGATGTTCTATATTAACAAGTGTGTATGAAGTCACTCCTCTCAGTCAGTGGTAAGAAATCCAGTTTTCCCAAAGTTAATGTGTGTGAAGTTTCATCGAAGCAAGAGGTGTGGATAGGACTTTGGAGTTGAGTGGCTTCTGTGTGCTTGTGGAGGGGTTGGGGAGATGGATTCGAGACAACTTGGGAGCCATAACTGGTATCTGCTGTCAGGAGAGAAGTCAAGAATGACTCCTAGGTCTGGGTCCACAGGAAAGGGGTGAACAGCAGTGCCCTTCAGTGAAGGGCCTGAGCCCTGGAAGCAACCAGGTAGCTGTGGAAACCAAGGGTTCTACTTTATTAAAATTTGAGGTGACATCCAAGGAGCAGTGTCAGGTAGATGAGTATAAGAGTCTGAAATTCAAGAGGAAGTTCAGGCGAGGTTGATTTGGGAATTGTAGGTGCAGTGTGGAGTCACACTTCACAGGCTGAGGATACCTGCTCCCAGGGTATCCCTACTTCTGACCAGCAGGCTATAAGATCTGGGGTTCCCACTCCCTGCTCGGGTTAAAAAATGTGCTAGAAAGTCTCATGGAACTCAGGAAAGCACTATACTTGTATTTACAGTGTAACCATGGCCAAAAGATTTGGAATCAGAACCAGCCACAGGAGGACCCAGAAGGCTAGGTCTGAGGGTCTTAAACATGAAGCTTCTGTTGTTCTTTCCCTGTGGAGTCAAGATACGTCACCCATCTTACAGCACACTGATGTGTTGACAGTGGCTGAGTCCTGAGATTGGTTGGGGTTTCTTTTTGAGAGTGATTGGCTGAATCGTTGGCCTTGATGCTTAACTCGTCTCTAGCCGGCTCCTCTCCTTTTGCACACAAGCCCTAACCCTGTTGTCACGTGGTTGATCTTTCAGGCCTACCCAGGTCCCATCCTGAGTCATCTTATTAGTGTCACTTCTCTGGGGCCTGCCATGAGTCCTTTCCTTAGATGGCCCATCAGAGCCTGCCATGAACACCTAAAACTCTTCTGTAACTCAGGAAGTTCCAAGGATTTAGGCTGTGTCCCAGGTGCCAGGGGCAGAGGCAGCCATATTCTTACACATAGGTTGTTTTAAAACTAGGGCCTTGAAAGCTCTAGGGATAGTATGGACCAAGAATTAAAGTTCAGTCAGGCAAGAGGAGCACCACAAGTTCAAGACCACCCTGAACAAGACCCTGTCTCCCTGCCCCTCTTCTCTCTCTCTCATACACAACCAAAGAAAAGGATTGGAGAAATGAGATAAGATGGTAGCTAGGTAGCGGGTATGTGGAGTCTGGGACATTGTTCTTTTAGGTTGGAGGATAATGAGAGCATTGCTTTCAAATGCTTTAGAACTGTTGTAGAGAAGAAAGAAATGTATTATCTTATATAACCAGCAGTCCAGAGGTTGTTTGGGGTCAGGCTGATTCAGGGCCTCAGCCATGTTTTTGAGGAACTAGGTTCTTTCCAACTCAGCCTGGTGTCCTTGATGTGGAACCTTCCTTGGGCTGGGAGTATGTTGGTTCCAGTTGTCCCAAGCATCATCTTCAGATCCGGTGGGAAAAGCAAAGTCCATCTTTTCCCACACACTCTAAGGGGTGGGAAGAATGTTCCAGACTCTTCCCAGCAGACTTCTCCTCACACCCGGTTGGCCAGAACTCCATCACAGGCTTATCTGTGAATCAGTCACCAGCAGTAACTGGAAAGGAAAAGCCCCATGGTCATGCATGAGGGGACAGGGCTGGAGGAGGAGGAGGTGTGACATGTCACAGAGGAAAAGTAGAGCCCCCTGGAGACCAGAGCCAGGCCTGCAAGCCTTATGGAGGCCCCTCGAGAGTAGTGCAGTTTTCTGCAGTGACCTTCAGGTGCTTGGGTGTAGTCGCAGGATTGGGGTTCTCCAACGAGGCCCAGCTGGAAGGAGAAGGGCAAAGCGGCATTTGCCAGCAAGTGCTTGCGGGGCTGGACAGTGGGAGCCAAGTTAGGTCAGGCAGAGAGGACAGAGGCCAGGCAAGGGCTGTGTGGGGGGTGCCCCTTTCAAGGCATCCGAATCAAGGACTAGAGAATGATTTTGGCCTCTGTCCTTGGCCTGTGTCCCATGGAGATACTTGTCTGGTCACTTTTTTTTTTTCCCCATTAAGTTTATTGGTACATTTTAGGTACACAATACAGTTACATTCATCACTGGGATCTTGTACCTTTACATAAGTATCTTGTTCTTATTATTTCCCCTTCCCCTGCCCTCCCTTCACCCCCTCCACCCTTCCCTATTTGCAAAGACTTTGTTTCCATTTTTTTCCTTTTCTCTTCTTTCCTTTCC